CAACCTATTATGAAATACAGTTGTACATTATCAGTTACCTGGTTGAAATGTATGTAAAAATATTGTTAAGAAAAATATTACCTCGATTAGAATAAACTTTTGTACTGTAAAAACGGACTGTCTGAATAGTTCAATATGCCGTTAGAAAACATGTATTAAATATTTACATTTGGTAAATTTTTGTGGGGAGAACAACGCTATCTCTACCGTATTTGGCTGAACGAATATGGAGCGTTTTTGAGCAGTAAAGACGCGTTTCATTCATGTTTTACAATAAAAGTTATGATCCGAAAATTTACAATAATTAGTGCATGCAATTCAGTTGCTTGGCTCGTTACTGATTGCGGCCTGAGTGTTAGGTGTGAAGTACATAGAGTCCAAATAACATTTGGCAAAATCGCTGACGATGCTTCTATCCGGTATGCTTTGACTCATTCCATAAATTGCGAACTGAAAGAAGAGTAATTTAATATTGCATTGTATTACATTTATATTAATCATATTCACCCTTCCTTCGACGGGAATTTCTGGATTCTTTAGGATCGTGCTTAATTCAGTTTGAACGTCGCTTAAAAATTGGTCCGCGACACCATGCTGCGTATGAACATACGTAACGCAGAGATGTACACCGCAAGGGAATTGAAGTGGATTCAAATTCCATCCTTTTTCATTTAAAGCTTCCGATAATTTATAAATATCAAAATCGTTTGATCCCAGTGCAATAACTGAGGTGGCCGGAGTACCAAAAATAAAAATTCCATCCAATTTCCTCAACCTGCAATTAATTTTATATATTTAATTACGAGTAAAGAGACAGAACCGCTGATGAAGACAAAAATAAGAACCTTTGTTCAATATATTTAGTAGTTTCAATAATTTTCTTTGTCGATTCGAGATATTCATTGTAACCGAAGTACATTAACGTTGCCCAACACGAAGCTATAATACCACCAGCTCTCGAGCCACTGACAGTCGGCGAACCATAAATACCACCGGGCCAATCAGTTGTTATAGTATACTGATGGTGCCTCAGCTTTTTGTTTCTATAAAGAATGATCGATGAACCCTTCGGAGCATACCCGTACTAAAAAATAAACGAAACAAAGTTGGTAGAAGTGGAATTAATTTTATACGTGCATACAGAAAGTATTTATATGTACTTTATGTGTGTCCGCTGATATGCTAGTAACACCGGGAAGTCTAAAGTCAAAAGGTGGTACATCGAAACCAGCGTCGGGCATGAAACAAAGTAAGAATCCACCGAGACAAGCGTCAACGTGAACTGGGATATTGTACTTCACTCCCAGCTTAGATATTGCTTCAATATTATCCATTGTCCCATATGGGAAATTTGGCGTTGATCCTGCTAACTGTTATAAATATCACTTAAATTCAAACATGAGAGCTCGATTTAAATATCAACTGAAGGGACTCTTGCTCACCATTATTGTATTTCTCGTAATAGCTCTTTCCATAGACTTGATACAAACAGTATAGCTACTTTGGTTTACAGGTACGATACGCACTTTAATTTTTAAGTACTGGGCAGCTTTATCAAAAGCAGAGTGTACAGTCACAGGTACCACTATCTCTGGCTTCTTGATACCCTTCACTTGCCTTGCATAATCCCTATACGCTTTACATGCTAACAAAATTGACTCCGTACCACCACTGGTCATCTGTAATGAATTGCATTTTAAGTTATCAATCGCTTGACATTTATTTCTAAAAATAACTCACCGTTCCACAAGAATCTTCACCGCCGTGAAATAAATTACAAGCTATTTTAACTACTTCTGCTTCCATTTTGCATACACCTGGAAAAACGTCAGGGTGCAATGGATTTGTATAAGATGCAATGCTATAAATATCACCCATCAGTTGTAAGAGATCAGTATCAATTCTGTAGATGGCACCAGACACTCTGCCACTTTTCCAATCGTAACTACCTAATAATATTAGACGATCATTTATGTGTGTTGCATAACTCAACGCAATTTCTATTCTTTTTAATAATTGCATTACCTAACTGAATAGATTGCTTTACTTTTTCTATGATCTCCTTTGGTTTTATGCCCTCCTCTGGGAGTTTTACAATAAAAAGAACATCTTTCATCCTCTGCAACACTTCTTCTTTAAATGTCTCATTAATATTATCCAGTTCCTGATCGATCTTGTTCCTGATAGCAGGTATACAATTCATTAAACTAAACATCTGCTTCTTAGCCCTTTCAGCAAGACCTGAAAGAAGTATGAAAATTACAATGGGATGAAATTATTAGAAACGTTTGATACGAAAATTGAATATCAAAATTAATCGTACTTTCTTCTTGGAAGACAAAATTCCATAGCCATACTGAGCTAAGAATGGTTGTACTTGTTATGGTCACTATTTTCCATGGTTCGTCCCCTTGGAAATAATTGTTAACCAGCTCTTTTAACACATAAATAGGATACATGTTTATCTAAAACAGAAACTACATTATTAATATCATATCAATAGGTATTACTACCATGTAACGTATAAATTCTACTGATAACTATGCTTATGGAATGACAAGATTAGTGTTATCTCACAGGTGCTTAACTCGAGGATTCAAAACAAGTACGCCTTTTCTTTCTTTATGTATATACATTTTTTCTCATACCTGTCCTCAACGTACTTTATCTCACCGCTCTCTCTTTGTTCTCTTAATCTTAGTTAGCATTGTTCCTTATTCCCCTAACTAGTTATTAGTGATTCTATTTTTAATAATCTCGCTTTTTCGAATACGATCAATTTAAATATTAAATATTGACTCATATAGGCAAATCTATGTACATATCTCAAGCAAAGTTTTTGAATACATACCACAAATAATTAGCGTAGCACAGTGATATTAAAAACAGATACAATCACCAAGGAACATATTCACATCAGAGCTGAGTGGGAACGAGATTGCTCATTGTGCTCACGCGGCCTGGTCTGGTATAAGTCCAAAGAGGAAATCAGAGGAAATAAGGAGGAGTGCTCACGTGCTCACGGCCACCGGGTTTTGCGTGTTCTCCATACTAGTGCTGCCTCCAGCTATTTCTTGCAGGGATCTGACATGTTCAGTTCCACGTTTAGCGTTTACAAGAACCAGTTGACCCGAGATCTGGCCTGTCCAGTTCAACGTTTAGCATGTATTTACATGAGAACGAAAGAACCATTTCAACGCTAGCAAATACGTAATGAAGACTAGCCAATATTACGAGATATTTACACACGTATTGTTAATAATTCTGAATATTTGTTAAGAGAATGCCTCGAATGTGAGAAGGAACGGGATTACGGAAGTAAAGACTGGGTTTAATTCCTTTCAAATTGAAGCAACAAATATATTACCATCTAAAACGTCGTCCCATTTCCTTATATTTAGAAATTTGCATTTACTTCATATTCTATTTTCATCGGATCGCCCCTTCGTCCATGCGCGCGATTCATTTAATTTGAACTCGAGTTCGCGGTATGCGCGTCCCGGTGTCTTTTTAATTATCGGAATTTAGTAAAAAGTATTTATTTTAATTTCATGTGTATTCAAATACAGTTAATAATAATTGTGATATACGTTTATATTTTTATTTCGGCTCGAAGGGTTTCAGTGATATTTTGTCGAGAGTCGGCAAATCGAAGAACAAAAATACGCGTCAGACCCCCGCTATACACTTTCAGGTAGTTTTTTGACTCTAGAATCTAAACTGATTTCAAATATATGTCCCTTCCAAGATTTATTGAGGATATGATCCCCTTTTTAACTTGTTCGATAAATGTTTTATTTTGCGTAAAAATTCGCATGTTAATTAGACGTGGGTCCAAGGTAAAGAACATTACTGCGCGTAGAGTTTCATTCTTTATTTACAAATATCTGGTAATCGTCAATGTACTCGGTAACAAAATGGCATTGCACATATACCGAATGATCGTTCAGCGCTAAGACGACAAATCAACAATCTCATCGTAGAGGAGACAAAACAATACTGATAACGAATTTGCACTATGACCTGAACCGTGTCGCTTTAATCAATACAACTTATTAAATACTAAGTACATTACGTTCAGTCGCAAAGGTTTTCACACGTTACAGCGTTTTTATATACAAGCATAACTTCGTCGATTCTTTATGCTTATGTAAAAAAAAGAGTGTGAACGTGTCGACGAAACAGAAGTCTGTGGGTGGGTATGTATTATCATCTAGGATGGTTCAGCGAACATATACGTAGCACATGTATACCTGACGTTTTTTGAGCTAGGCCGAACATTTTCGAACTCACGATCACGGTTGTGGCGCGTTTATTCAGCTACGAACACTTCGGGCAGTTTAATTTCCTAAGTACGTTGAGATAACAATTGCTTTCACGACAGTTAATCAGCAATATTACGACGAGTAATGCTTCTGTTCAAGCTACTTCACCGTTTCGCTCCGGTCGATTTATATTATGTACGTATAGGCACTCTATCCATCGTAAAACAAAGCATCCCGTTGATGATCTTCGTTTACGGTCGAAGGAAACCACCGTATGGACAGTTCGTTCTCACTCTCGCCCTGACCCGAATAAATTATTGTTGCTGTCGATGATCGATCGGCTTAAGTCTGTTTCAACGGTACGGTGCCCGAAAGGATAAAACGGCTGCGCAACGAACTGAGACTTAGCTCGTAATTGCGTGACTCAAGTTCGTCTTGTTCGACAAGGTACAATAAGAACGTCTTCCTTCGATATCGAAAAGTTCGTGCAAGTATGAAAAGTCAACCATCGTGGAACTTTCATTAAAATTCCTTCGTTTTTTAACATTTTCTTCATTTTTAATCATACGTAGAATGGCTCCTTTATGTAAAACTCGTTATTTTTAATAAAGGAAACATTCGCAACGATCCATTGTACAAAATGCTCTTCGATCGGCGCACGAACTCATGACGAGTTTCGAAGAGATGCTAGAAAGACACGATTAAGTACATGACTCGATCAACCGACAACGTTATCCCAATGATGTGCGTCATTTTTTCCCTGCTCAATGTGTTCGTCGCTGTCTCATAAACTCCAGATATGCAGAGGCTTTTTTAAGTCTTTGTACAGGCTAACGTTTGCATCGTTATTCTAATTCCATGAGTTTGCGTCGCGAGTAACCGCAGTGCAAATGCAACGGTGTGCATTTAAATAGTTTCAACCGAAAATCGACTGGTCGCTGATGATGATGATGATGATGATGATGATGATGCAGATCTTATGGGATGCGTGCTATCGACTACTGGTGACGATAAATAATTAATCGAACGTACAACGTTATCTAGAAACGAAATCAACCGTACGATCTCTAGCAGCGTTATTTTTACATGTACCGACGATTATTCTTGACGCGTCGCATAAATATTCTGTATAATTTACCGCTAAATCGTGAGCACGGGGCGACCTGATTCAATTAACTGTAAACATTGTCGAAAAGAAGGATCGATGCTTGAGAATCGGGACGAACGATGTAAATTTCATTCGCAGAGAATCGCATCGTATTACCTACCGCGGTTTATTAAAATATGTAACTCGCATGTGTGTATATGTCAGCAAAAAATACGATTACATTTAGTAGTCGTTCTCGTGAGAAGCCGAGTGTTCCTAGAGCCATCATCCTTCCCGTGCCGAATCAGCGCGACTCGGAGGTTCGTGTCACGTTAATAAACGCCCTTTAACACCTCACGTTTCTCGTTACGCTCACTAATGATAATGATCAATCGCGTCCTTATACGACTCGCTCCTAATCGTGGTCGTTTCAGGCGCCCCACTCTCGAAATCTGAAATTAACGAAAAAAAAAAAAACGACACTACCCCCCTTGAAGCGCGTCTCGCGTAGGCCTGAAACTGATTCTTCTCTCGATTCATGTTTTACCTTTTTCTTGTTCACGTCACTTACAATTAGGCGAATGAAATACAACGATCATGGATTAAGCATAGACGACAGTTAGTTTCATACGTGCACAGTTGCACACATCTGCATACACAGGCGGAATAATCTTTTTTTCCCCCCTCGCACTCACTTCTGATTACATATTTCCCTTACTCGTTACTTTTTCACGATCATTCGTCTGTCCTGCTTCGACGTGGACGAACACAGGCCGGACGTTTTAAACGTTGTATCATTTTAGCGTTGATCTCGCTTTAAAAAAATTCATTTTTCTCCTCGTTTTATAATAACCCGGCACGCCTTAAGAAACATTTAAATCGAACAACATGAAACGTTCGCGGTGGTTACTGTGAATCCGTCAATATATATGTATATAAAATTCGAATACACTCGGCAGACCGCAAAAATGAACGAGGTGAGAACTTTCAACAGCATTACTAGACTCCAACGTGTCGCATAAACTATACAAAAATGAGCGCTCGAAGTTGGGAGAAACGAAATATTTTGGACGGTACGACGAAGAAGCATTTCAACAAAATTTATCTTTACCTTTCTCATTATTTTCTGTCATCTTTCCCGTTTACCACGGTCCCTTGCCACAAAATCTTTGTGTTCCGCTCAAATTCAAACCGCTCTTAACTGTTCACTCGTCAAAAATTGATTACGCGAACTGACTTTTAAAGCGTCACGCTTTCATAGTTCGAAGGCGTTGATCGACGACAGGCTCTCGCGTAAGGCCTCCAGACTATTTCCACATTTTGCTTTGGTTTCCGTTCGCGATTTTGAAAATCACGCTACACACAAGGCCATGAGCTTTCCTCGAGTGGACGATGCCGAAGCGCGCCCAGAATCTCTACGTTATGTCGTTGCGACGGCTGGAACATAGAACGCTCGTTCTTTCGTTTAACGATTTATCCTAGCCCGTCACTAATTTTATTAATCGAAAGACATGTGGCACTATTACGTGTTCGAAAGCTGTATTTAAAAGTGTTTCTCATCGTTTTCTTGTTACTCTATGTGTAGCGTATTGTTACAGCAATTTTTCTAGCCATCGTTTACATCATCTTCTCTTCCTCTTCCTCTAGTTTAATTTGGACGAATAATTTATATAATTACAGCATTCCAAGTAGCACTCGTCATTCCAATTTCACACAAATCTAAAAAAAACAACAAATACTCCTTTACCACCCCAGTTTTAAATATAACTTAATCTCGTTAACAATTATTATTAAACAAAGCTTCCGCTCGCGAGGTCGACGGGGGTAAATATCAGGTTGAATCTTTCACAATAGAAGAGGTATCGGTAATTAAATGTCAAATGTCATTATTATACTCGTACCGAATGAAGTACCATCGCCTAATAATTACTTGAAACGTTGCGTAACGCTGGCCAAGGCGACGGCGAACGCTTGCAAAGCGCTGAAAGGGTATTGGAAATCCAACGTGAAGGCGTTCCCATCTATTCTTCCAAATTGCATGACCTGCGCCGAAACAACCGTGTCGTTTAATTAAACGGTGCTGGGCTGGACGTGGAATTATTTTTAGTACCTGTCGGCCTTTGAATTCGATCTGAAAGTTCTTAGCGCTTTCCTGGGTGACCCTGCCACCGAAGTCAAGCTGGAACACTTGGCTGGATTCGTTCCACATCGGCGCTTTATTGTGCATAACAAGTTCTCGTCTTACTGCTTCCGATTTGTGACTGGATACTCCTCTACCCTTGTGCTTCAACTAACGAGTAAAACCAGAGTATTATTTATTTCGATCGACGAGATACTAAATATATAAAAATTTCTTGAAGATTCATTAACAAATTTATTGATTCAATGATTTATTTATTAACCTTTTGCCGCAATTGCGCCTTTTGGAACGTCTCCAGATCTCGATAGTTCGTCGACGACTCGTCTTGCAATAGCCCCTCCTCGTCTGAACTTTCGCCGCGACTTTTACGCGTTTTTCTACTTAATAATGGACTCGACAAAAGTCTTCTTCTAATTGGCGAGGCGGAGGCCGGCCTTTTACCTTTCTTCGAAGGCGCCGGACTGCTGGGAGAACTTCTCGGTAGTCTACATAGAGAAATGTCAATTACCGATGAAAGGTCGACCGATCGAATTTATACGAATTGATTAATGCACTTTACCTGGCGGATGGACGAGGCGACGGCGGTGGCAGGGAGTGACTTTCGTCGAAGTCTCGAAGTCTAGCCGCGAGTCCGTCTAACGATGATGCTAACGAACCGCTTGGACTAGATCCTCTGTAAACAATTTTCATTTCAAAAGAACGTGGTACCGAAGGCCTACATAGAAATCGTTCAGAATATCAGATAAAGAATTCAATATGGAAACCTCGAAGTTGCATTTCTAAAGAAATTGAATATACAAGAAAATGCTGTATGATTCTTCAAGATATACAGAAAATGTTAGAAGTGGATGTATTATAGTAGAATGGATATTACATTGCTTAAACAATAAGTGAACTAAATTTTATATTTCGCATAAAAATTCGCAGTTTATTTATAAATCATTTACTTACCTAGCAGAGGAATTGCAACTTTTTAATCGGCTTGGCTTAACTTCGCTAGAATTAACCGCATATACGTGTTCTACGATATGCGCGCATTCACTCAGCGCCTCAATTACTTCCGCCGATTTTTCCAAAGACTCGTTACTCTTGTCCTCGACGGCTTCGAGATTCGTGGCTCCCGTCGCTTCTTCAACATGCTCGGGCAACTTAGGCGGCAGAGCTATTTGCTCGTTAGTGGGGAATATGTCGCTAGAGTCCAGACTCTTCGATTTACCGCAGTTCCGGAGCCTCGGCGACTTGGAGGTCTGCTGCCCTATCTCCTGTTGCGCTTTATTCTTTTTTCTCCTCTTCGTCTTTCTCGACACCAGTACCAGTCTTTTGTTAGGTGCCTCCTTCCTCAGCATGTTCAAAGCGACGTCGCAAGGGACCAGCTGAGCGTCGACCATGTCCAAATAACCGACGCTGCAGCTTCGAACTATAGGATCGTTTATGCATAAAGGACCTATGCTGACCACCGTCGGCGTTCTGTGAACGACTCGCGATTGATCGAACGCTTCCGCTTCCGCGCGAGCTTCCTCATCGATGAAACGCATCTCGTCCGCGCGGCTGGTAGCGTTCGCAGTGCTGCAAGCACTCGATTGACCGCCGTTCGTCTTCCCGTACAACTCGTGACACTTGGGATCTTTCACTTTCGACGTGCAATACAAACAAGTTTGTCCAATGCATTGATCGATGTTCTCCGGGAATTGATAAGAACAGGCCGGCGAATGATTGTTGGACAAGTGAATGCCGTTCTTGCTAAAGGGACCGTTACTCGATCCGTGTTGGGCGTTTGCTGAAGACGTTTGGTTAACGCTCGCCGTACTGCTGGCGTTGTGATTATTTTTACCCTGGATACCGTTCATGTTGCTCGAACACGCTACGCCGTGCAGGCTATTAAGAAATATCGGTTGGGAACAGCCGTTGTTCGTGTCTAAACCGTTTACGATGTAACCCTGGGAGCAAACGTGACTGCTCGAGGCTTCCGTACTCGGGGTCTGCCCGTTGTGCATCGACATGGGAATGATAGTCGACGGGCAGGACGTCAGTACGTTCTTATCGTCCTGAGAGATCTGATTGAACTTGTTATTCTCGAGCTCCTTCTTAGAGATCAACCCCGGCTGTTGGTCGGCGAGGGCGGTTTTCATTCTTTGAATATTGTTCGTATAATCCGTTTCCGTGTTCGACGTCGCAATTATAGTCTGCGTGGGCGCGACTGCGTTCTTCGGTGACTGCAACGCCGGCACGTCGCAGCATCGAGGCGGGTTGTGCCTCGGCGGTGTCCGATAAGTGTTCGTCGTGCCGCTCCTCAAATTTTCGTACAGATTCCCGATTTCCTGGAGGTCCACGTACGGTAGCTCGTTCTCGAAATTGTCGACCCTGGACAGAGTCGAGGGCAGGGCTTCGCTGGCCATGAATTGATTGGAAACCTGAGACTTCGGACGATTTGAATTGAGCCGCGCGTTTCGCGGTGTCATTGGCGCAATCGGTGGCGGTTGCCTCTCGGACGTGCTCCTCGTGGCAGCCTGGAACTCCTGGGACGATTCCTCCTCGTCCTCGGAAAATAGATTCGGGTTGAACGACGGGTCCGGACCTACGAAAATCGATCCAACTGATGGACTTCGTCACGATGACGATTTTTAGAGGATAATGATAATAAAATTGCTAAGAATCTGAAACTGTCGTTCTCCTTACTATATTTTATAGTAAATGCTTTTTAATTCTACTGAATCAAATTTGGTTCCTTTGTTAGATGGAATCACTTTAAAATGAATTAAGACAACCAAACGTAAACTGCAGTTTTTTATTAAGAAACAATTTTTTATTTAATTCTTTATTTTCTGAAAGAAAAATTGGTCGACGTAGTTTTATCGTGATTCCGAATACGTACCTGCAGGCACGTCGTCGCGCAGCTCCGTTATCACCAGAGTCATACGTCGCGGTTGTAAATGCAGCAGCGACGTTCGATAAGTGACCTGACCGAGGTTCGCGGGTACCGAATCCGCCAATCCGTGAAACTTGAATTTGGTGCCCCAGATATTGGACGTTACCTCGACCAGCCTCGCGTGCTGCAAACAGATACGTCTTGCGACACTGCCGGTCACGCGACTGCCTTTGCAATACTCTCGTAAGACTCGAAGGGCTCGTTAAACTTTGCTACATCACGCTATTTATTATTCGCCGATCCTAGTGCAACGCGCCCGGTCTTAAATCGCCCGCCTACGTCTCGGGACGGACACGATTTAGTGGAAATAAAACTGTTTTTACGAGAGTTACAAGTGCGGTAGGGAAATGTATACTTTGCTTGAAATTAGAATGCCATTAGAATATATTTTATGACGTGCGTGTATGCATAAGTGTTCGAAACGTTTGACAAATCCTAATCTTTAAATCGTTGACTTACCTCGGGTAGGGTGTCCACGTATGTAAGATCGTCGGTTTCCTCGTTTGATTTCTCTTCCCTTTTCCTCCGATTTTTCCTCTTGTTCCTCGGCGAACCGCACAGGTCGGCCGTGTCCTTCTCCGTGTCGGATCCATCGCTGAACGATGGACACTGTTGCGACGTATCCTCCACGACTTGGAGAGTATCTTGACATTGCGGATCGAATATGACGAACTCTGGTTTAATTTTACTCTTTCTTCTCCCCTTCAACAGAGGCACTAGGCCACCCAAATATTCTAGATACAACGTATAACATTGTACTGGTTCCACGGCATGTCTGAGCATGGTGCAATTTAACTTGACGCCTCCTGGAGGTGGTCGCGACACAAAAGAAAAATTGGTCGACGTAGTTTTATCGTGATTCCGAATACGTACCTGCAGGCACGTCGTCGCGCAGCTCCGTTATCACCAGAGTCATACGTCGCGGTTGTAAATGCAGCAGCGACGTTCGATAAGTGACCTGACCGAGGTTCGCGGGTACCGAATCCGCCAATCCGTGAAACTTGAATTTGGTGCCCCAGATATTGGACGTTACCTCGACCAGCCTCGCGTGCTGCAAACAGATACGTCTTGCGACACTGCCGGTCACGCGACTGCCTTTGCAATACTCTCGTAAGACTCGAAGGGCTCGTTAAACTTTGCTACATCACGCTATTTATTATTCGCCGATCCTAGTGCAACGCGCCCGGTCTTAAATCGCCCGCCTACGTCTCGGGACGGACACGATTTAGTGGAAATAAAACTGTTTTTACGAGAGTTACAAGTGCGGTAGGGAAATGTATACTTTGCTTGAAATTAGAATGCCATTAGAATATATTTTATGACGTGCGTGTATGCATAAGTGTTCGAAACGTTTGACAAATCCTAATCTTTAAATCGTTGACTTACCTCGGGTAGGGTGTCCACGTATGTAAGATCGTCGGTTTCCTCGTTTGATTTCTCTTCCCTTTTCCTCCGATTTTTCCTCTTGTTCCTCGGCGAACCGCACAGGTCGGCCGTGTCCTTCTCCGTGTCGGATCCATCGCTGAACGATGGACACTGTTGCGACGTATCCTCCACGACTTGGAGAGTATCTTGACATTGCGGATCGAATATGACGAACTCTGGTTTAATTTTACTCTTTCTTCTCCCCTTCAACAGAGGCACTAGGCCACCCAAATATTCTAGATACAACGTATAACATTGTACTGGTTCCACGGCATGTCTGAGCATGGTGCAATTTAACTTGACGCCTCCTGGAGGTGGTCGCGACACAAAACGCCTAAGCTCTTTCGGTTCTGGTACTGGACATCTATAAACACGATAGCATCGTCTATTGTATTTAATTATATTAATAAAAAAAGTAATCCGGTTTTTGTTCATTCGATTTAATGAAATAAGAAATAAATTGTAATCTGCTCGTATATTTCTAAATTCTATTCGTACATTTTGAGAACGAGAAATATGTACCTGATAGTACTAGCGAAAAGTGCGGCCACCGATGCCCTCAACCTCGGTGGCAGTGGAAGCTGCTGAATACTGGACTCCTTAGTTAGGGCTGCCCTCACGGCTAAACGAGACAACAACTGCAGCGATCCTACTCGTCTGTAGAACGCGTGCATCAAATACTTAGCTGATCGAAAAAATTGCTCGGTTCAAATAGGAATTTGGGTAATTACCTCGACACCCATGCCGCGTGGACGCGCGCCCCCGTCGCTACGAAGAGTCGCCTGTCGTTGTGACCCCAAGTGAACGCCGATACTGGACACTGATGTCCATAACACAACATAGATAGAAATAATGTCTTGATAACTGGTATTTAGGGAAAGAAACTGTTACGTACTTGCGTGTATGGAATGGCTGCGGTGTACACGAGGCTTCCGGTGACCGAGTAAAATTTCAAGAGGTTTGTGTACTCGTGTGGGCTACCCTGCGGGCTGTCAGACTCCTTCGTCCCGGCTATGGCTAAAAGCTTCCTGGAATTACTCCATTCCGCGTGCAGCGGCGCCTTCAGGTTCGTACGGATCGTGATTGGCGAGACGTCGTCGAACGAACGCAGCATCACGATGTTTCCGTCGGCCAGACATACCGCTAGCACATAATTCCGATCGTCTGCGAATCCGTTACGAAATTCTGTTATGCAATCTTCAAACAATGAGATTTAATTGTTGTTATTTCTAAAAAGACATTGAGTTCCATTTTTAACAATGAAGTGTAAAATCAGTTCGATATAAAATAATTTTTCCCAATTGATACTAAAAGTTCTCTTGAAGGAGATACTTCGTTGAATATAAAGTGCATCTGGAAATCGTTCGAATGCAGGAATTCGCGCGTGTCGAACTCGGCAAGAACGATTGGAACGCAGCGTTTTATAGAGAGCTATGAAATATTTCATCGTGTGTACCTCTGTGAGCTTTATCATTCGTTAAATCGTCGTCGCCTTCTTCCATGGTGAATTTTTCAGCGCTCCAAGCCATGGAGGTGACGCCGGCTGCCAATTGCACCTCGGACACCATCGCCCCGTGCACGTCCATTACTATTAATTGCCCTGCCGTTGTCCCAAAATACACCTGTTCGGTTTCATAATCAATAAATCATGTATCGAGCCAATCAAAGTTATCGTACAATAATGATAAACGATTTCAATTTTTGTAAGCTTGTACATTTTTAAATGATTTTTATTATCTGTTTCCCGGCTTAATTGTTGGCGATGAGAAACTTTTGTTGACGTTAAGGGAGACTTCACTCGGTAATGGAACTCTGACAAGTATGATGGAGTGTAACAGTACTCCGTAATAACGCGAGTGGTTCAAGATTCCAGACAGGTCGCCCGGATCGGTCTATCATGTTTCACGTACGACGCGCGATGTATTTAAAGGTATTAACCGAGGGCTACGTGGGATGATGTACGTGCTCCATAATGAGGGTGTATTTTGTTGTTCATTGGATTAATTAGTGGGCATTAACTGGAGCACTGGAGCTACGCGCGTAGTTTACATGCGGGAATTGAGCCGCGTAAATGATGATCGCACAAATCAAGCGCGTCAACTTTTTTTTCGGTACGATAATTAGCTTATAATGTACGACATCGTGTTTTCTCTTAATATACAGTAATTAAATACAGTTCCGAAATCGAGTGATTACTTGCCTGCTGATCGTCTGGCGTCCAAATACCACAGGTAATTCTAGCTTTGTTGTTCAACATCGACGACCAATACCTTTGGCCACCAACGCTGCCAACTAGCACGAAACCATCCTACGGAAACGAAATCTTTATCCATTTCTTTCTTTTAAGCTATACAAATTTTTATCTCTTCCGTTTGCCAATTTCATGTTTCAACATTTTATAACTGCAGTCTAATATATCATGAATTAGTTTATTCACCGTACGAATGACTAAACCTCTTGTTCTATATGTTAGCTTGATTTACTTCAGCTTTCATATTGAAATTTACAAAACATTTGATATTTATTGGGAGAGCTTAACAATAATATTACAAGGGACACCTGGCTTTTAATCCAAACAGGACGCGTACAATATGCATAGAGCGGGCCGTTTATTCAAGTTTCACGTTGTATCTCATCCACGTGGACCAGCTTTCCGCAACATGAATAATCATTTCAGTCGGCGTACAATCGGCGTAACAATATATTTTCATCTCGCTTTGAAATTCAATAACTCCTACTATCCAGAGCCATTTCGTCAATTCAATTTCACGACCGCATAACTCCTTGTTCTCAGATTTCCTCCCACCGTGATCTTTTTTAATAAAACCCTATCGATCCCCATTCTGTCTAGTGTCAATTATCGCTGGAACGCTCGGACGGAATCGTAAAGTCGCAGTGACATTAAAACTTTAATCGTGGATTTCAAAGTACCGGGAAACAATATTTGAGAGCCACTGGAATTGGACTCGATTCAATTGTCGCGCGAATGCAGGTTCGCTTGTTTCATTTTTAGGAATAAAAGTTGGAAATACCGCGCGTCCTTGCGCGATCCCTTTGTCGCCTGTCCGCGTCAACACGTGCGTTTATAGATACGATGTGGATAATCAAGTCTCGATAAATCGAATTACCCTGTAGCAGATGAGGGCCATGCGACCGTCGTGGGACCAGGAGAATTGCGTGACCGGCGTACTCCTGTCGTTGATCAGTTCTATACTCCATCTCCCTTCGTACTTGATCCAAACGAAAATCACACCCGAGCTGTCGCAAGAGGCTAGCTTCTGATACGGCTCGTTCCATTTCACTAGAGTCACCTGTAACGAAACGATTATTCGATGTAACAATCGTCGATTTGGTTAATAATTTAACATAGACGTTTTCTATCTATCGTCTGTTTGTTCCATTTCGCTCGATGGTCCAAAAACCCTTGATCCGACCGAAGATCTGGGTCAGTTCATTAAACGCAGCCTGAAAGCATCAAGGTCTTGGCTAATGTGGTACGTTATTCATGGTGTAATTTGCCCTAAGCGGTACGCCGGCCTCCAGACACACTGGCTTGGTATCTGTACCAAGTGCGAGACAGGATTAGCAGCCGGGTGAGACCTTTAACCTTCCACGCGTTAAATGTTAAGTATTTTAAAGAATTGAGTAACGGTTCCTGTTATATCCTCTAAGCGTTTTAAAAAGAATCCTTAAAGCTTGTTATTCCAGTATGCAAGCACGATAAACGAAAGTTCGTTTCTCATTGAGCTTTCAAATGTGACTTTAGTTATACCCGTTTTATGGTAACAAGTTGTAACCAGTGAAAATATAAAGAGAATTCTTCTGTTAAAATCGTAATGAGATAATTTTTTAATAGTGATGAGCCGCGCGCTGAGTACCTTTAATTCTCCGCAGTGAATCTCCGCTATTCGTGAGATATTTCCGATCAGTCGGACAGTTAATAACATAAAACGTTTCCGCATAAATTCAAGCATATTTGCATGATTATCGACGAAGATTAATTTTATTTTACATTTCAATTATTTTAATAATGCAGAGGATGAAATACTGCAAAAGCTATCGTTGATGCTTCTCCAGCTTTTCACTGTATTATTAATGTAATTGGCAATCGTAAGAAGTAAACGGAAGGACTTCCTTTTTGATCTTAAAGGATTCCTACGGACAGACGTCCTTTGTCACTTTTATTCGTCCGCTCATTTTTTTCTATTCTGGAAGTATATTACACACGTAAGATCAAAGACCACCCGAGTCTCTTAGTGTCTGGCTAAAAGATTTGAACCCGTGTCCCCGGTTCACAGGCCACTTCAAAGAGGCAAACTGAAATCCACTCTTTTCTACTCCTTACAGTTTTTCTCGCAAATATGAGATTGAATATTAACGGCGAACGTTCCATTTTTATTTATTTAAGGACGATAAAAAGGTTTACTGTGCTTCTTGCGATGTTTTCATTTAAGCTCGATCCGACGCGTAATTAATCTTATTTTTTTCTTCCGCACCCGCGACTCCATCCTTTCATCTTGGCTACTCTCTTCTATCTTCCTTCCTACTACCGTCCTACCCTTTGTTCGCGCACCTTAATCAACTCTTTGTCCCTTCATCCATTTTATTTATCTCGCATACGTCGCCTCCTCAGCATATTTTGCTCCCTTTGAGAAAACACTTTTTATTCCCCCTTTCGCCGTATGGAAAACCGCGGGGTTAAAAACGCGCGTATTTAATCATAAAGTAGCAAAACATGTTAGGCCCGAAAACATCTGCTCGTTGATCTAACCGGTAAGAATTCGACTCGGCCCCACGTGGCTCTAATAAATATTTAAAAACGTCTAAAAGTCCGGGGCGTATAGCGGCGGCACAAAGCCGCGGCGCCGGCAAACACAGGTACTCGTGCGCGACGGACGTAAAAGGGTATCTAAAAGCGTACGCAAGTAAAAACGGGGACTAGCCAGCTTTTTAGATCTTCGATGGATTTTTAAAGAGAGATTACGTTGGAGTAGGCGACGCTATAATTAGCCCGGTGCAACGCCGGCGTTATCGGCTTATACTGTATTATAGCAGTCGTGAACGTCATACGGCAGAAGGCGTGGCGCAAATATTTTTCATAAACAATAAATCCATCCGTTCTATGGTATTAACTATATTTAGCGGCGTGTCATTGCTCCGGCGTCGTATCCGGTGCCGGTCGTGCCAAGTGTATCGTTTGCCGGTCGATCGATCGGCTACTGTCCTCCATCCGCCGAGCAGCTAGCATGATTATGTACAATTTTCTCCCGTATATCATCCTGGATTTAACGAATCAACGTTTATGACTCGTGCATCGTAATAGAAGGATCGGCTCGCTTTAGCCATGCGATTTAATGTATTATTTTGTCGAAAAATTGTTCCCCGTCACGCTACGTTACAGAGCCAATATTTGAAAGGAAACACAACAAATAAAAATGAACGTATACCGCGTATCGTCCCGTTTGAGGTATTTGACAATGTAATTATTATTATTTATTGATTTACATAAATGGACTTAATTATAGATTATTCGCTGTTGGCCACTATTTAATACCAAGGGTTATTAAGTTGTTGTTGCATGTTGCAACGTTATTATCGTGGTCGCGAAACAATATCCCTGTTATCGACAGCTGCATTATAATTGAATTTGCGATACAGAGTCGCTCGACACTTTTTCAATTAAGCTAAAAAATTTATACGTTGTTCGCTAAACGAGTATCAATCAAGTTTTAACCACCGAGCCTTTGGCAAACAGATAAAATACTTTTGTTGATCAATTTGTCTCTGGTTATGTACGTACATACGTACTGAAGATGGGGCATAAAATTTTAGTTGCCGCAAAGTAACGCGGAAGAGGTATCCCGTACGTGACACGTGTGCCGAGGCGATATTTCAAGTGCTCTTCGTACACCATGACAATCTTCGAGGAATATGGGGAACGCGTTAACGTGGACACGTAGAAACGTTCGGAGAGAAGTTATTGATGACTTCGTTGTACGCTTTCGCTGGACGGAAATTCCCCGTCGAACTAGGTTTTAGTACTTGCATACATACTTATTCCTATACTCAGCGAGCTTGGCTTCTCACTCAGATTGTGAGCGCATATTCGTAGCGACATTGATTGACGACGCTCAATTCAGACGGAATTTTCTCTTGTTTTTTTATTTCTGTGTGTAAGTATCGTTCGTGACGAGAATTTATCAGGACGTGATTTCCTATCAATTATGAATTCATTGGTGATAGGCAGCTACTCGAAGTAGGTCGTATTCATAATAAATCTATTAAGGAGTTTGAATATCACGTAAAATGTTAGTAATAAGGAAAAGGTATAATATTCGAGTTCACTTTGAAAGCAGCTCAGCTGGCAGCTATTACCTGAAATTACGATAATTTTAAACTACCGGCCATTATTTTGAAGTGTAATTTAGCTGAATGTATTATATAAACGGTTCGTTATGAAACAATATTGGATACAATGAGCATCGAATTTAATTTCTGTAGTACAACGAATATCATGAAATGAAAGTCACCTGCGCACAGCGTAGACCGCTGTGGTTATATTCGAGACGCAATTTCACAAGTTATTATAATTAATCATGTAATTAATGACTTGTTATGTCACATGTTCGTTATACGATCGCGAGGATTATCGATTTTTTGCCTGTTTGTTTTTATTTGTCATTACTCGTTGCGTTTCACGTTTATTATTAAAATCCTTATTACGCGTTTCGTTCGTTTCATCAAATATAAATTGTACACTAACGTCACCGAGAAGTGTCTATCAGATAAAAGTCGTTTTCTCCAATACGACCACGAAATTGTCCTTGACTTACTTTGCAAATAATGATTTGTGTCACGTGTCACGTAACGCATGCCATTGTAAACCAACCCACAATCGTTACTAATTTCATTCTTTTTAAAAAAAATTATTTCAAGAATTCAAATTGAATTCTCTCGTGGTCTTATTTATTAACTCCTGTCATATAATTAGGAACCTACCATCGGTGTGTCCTATAAAGACATTTTACTCTTCGTTAAACAACGATTAAAAATAATGACGAGCAAAAAGTCTGACAAGCGACGTGGGATATATTATAAATTGTCAGAGCATAAGTAGCCGGAGAAGACGCGGTAGCGGAGACAGCATAAAAGGTTGGTGATCGATAAGAAGCTATGCCTCGAATTCTCTCGTGGCATCGGAACCGTGCAGAATGCGAGATTGTGGGAAACGCGTCTGGGAGCAACCGATATATTCGAAGACATCGTGAATTCCTTCTTTGAGGAAACATCGGTCCACCCTCCGAGCGAGATTTATACGAATATCTCCCCGGTGCACGCTATTATAATATTATCCGGAACTCCGTGCAGCCGGACTGGAAAATTAAATAACTCGCCCTCGATATTGAGTACCCTTTATGTTTATTCGCCGGATTATCGAATCGCGACTTCGCCAGCCGAGTAAACGAGTGTCGTGCACTTTCATCAACTTCGTTCAAAAGCCCCTTGTCAAATTAAGGATGTATTGGCTATACAATCAATCCCAAAAGTTTATGTACCTTAGAAAAACGCATTTTCTATAATTAAAAAGAAATCAGACATCGGAAAAATAATGCTAATAATAAATAGCTAC